ATGAACCTCAGAAACTTCATTCAATCTGAATTGTGGCAAACGATAAGGCACAGACTTTCGAGAACTACTTCAGATGTAGCTGCATAATTATAATTGTATGGTTGTGCAATGGCTGTTGTAGCTCTGAATATCCGGAAGGAACATGCACTCTGGAACGGCCATTTTTCTGCTACGCGATCTGTCCTACACAAACTATAAGATCCACCAAAAGCGGTCTTTAGAATATGCGTAGTCTGACCACAGTACTTATTATTGTAATGATCAAGCAAAATTATAGGCCCGCACAAGACTGTCCATCTCAAAAATTGTGGTATTCTGAGCTTGCTTGCAGAAAAAAATATGTGAGTTTCAAACCAAAATCATAAGATGGACAATACACGTAGAAACGTTAGAAAGGTAACAATATTTTTCATAAAGGAAGGAAACTACTAACAAGGTCGCTGAGAACTCTTCGACAGTCGACGACAAATTTTGCCCTTCTTGGGGTTCACCAGGCAGGCTCAGTTCCCGAGTTTCCATTAAACTTATGCTCTACTTGAGCATAAGTTGAACTGATTTTGACAAATACATTGATTTGCAAGCCAATTTGTTTTTAGTTGAGACTCAGCTGAATCTCCTGTTTATGATGTTCTTCGCACAAAGGCCACCCAAATATTTTCCTTGCAAAAATACCGCATTCAATCTGTTCTGTTCACCATACGTGAAAAAATGGCAATATTATCCTCCGGATTCCATACCAGGCTTCATCAATCCGATGAGATCATCCACTGACGCAACGGAGTTAATCTTTCGACGGAAAGAGCACATTCCCCGTATGATTGTCGAGAGCATTAAGAACAAATACTATCGCGCTGGATTTGCGCATAAGCTGTGTACACCTCACAATGCACCCGGTGCCTAAAATGTGTGCACGAATTTTGTACAAACCTTAAAATTGTGTCAGGTTTAGCAGAAATATCCGAAATTATTTCTGGGCTCAACAAAAATAAGTTTATCAAACGGGGATGAGGGTCCGTAAAAATCAAGTTGGATTTCATCTCAGAGGAGTGAGTACGGATTTATAACTCAAATTTCTGTCAAATGCAAGAACGACACTAGAATTTACGAACAGATGATTATTGTTTTCCTTGAGTTTAAAGTTACCTCCAACCGCTTGAGACATCTTAACCATGGTAAAAATCATTGAAAATGCTTAGACAATGGTCTACTCTTTGAATTTGCCGAAAACCTTCCAGGCTAGGGATCGGTTCTCGCACTGGTTACATTTGCCCATTCATCAGCATGATCCAAACTCACCTGACGCCTTCACCTGAAAACACTATCACAGCATTTTCTAATAGACAAGAGAATGTAGACTGCACGGTCTCGTTGAATCGAATCATACCGAAACGCGAGCGGAGTTACGTAATTAAATTAGCATGCTCTTCACTCTTAAAAAGTACAGTCTGAAGATTCCTAGTGTGGTAATCCATTATGTTGGTGCTCATGCCTCTCAAACAAAGTTAAATGACGGAAACATTGCAATCATTTTGATAAAAAAGGTTTTCACTAACGCATGAAAATAATCGCTCCAAGTGGCTCTTAACCAAGTCTGTTTGGGGCTCCAATAAACTGCTTACTACCGTCCGCTTGCTTGGGTAACACAGCGAAACTTTGCCTCCATGTATGGAGGCTGGTTTCCGCAGTGGCATGTATGAACGGTTTCAGGGTGAAGTGTGATCAGAAATATAGAATGAACCTTTTCTCTCACCGTTGGCTTGGTCGAATTAATGCGTATCCCCGAGTGCTAACTTGCTAGTCATCAACATCTAACCAGGAAGTAAGGATATCGAAAAAAAATTATTAAAATCCAAGGCGCCACAATAAACCACTCATATAAGAACTGATTTTCTCACAAACGAAGATTTGCGAATACCTGGTGCCTGCTTCCAGCCCCTTTTTTAGAAAAAAGAAAGCTACAAATTATTCGCAAGTGCTATCTGGCCAATCACGCGTACCGCTCTTTCCGTTAAAAGACAGAACGTTATTCTGAAGACCTATTCTGGTAGAAGGTGCCTTCATGTAGTTTGTGCACTAGCCTTCTTTCTACTACACTTTTGGAACGACCGTGGCTTTATGACTTTCGAACACATCGGATGACCGACATAATGTGACACATTCGCAATTTCTGGGTAGTTACGATAAACCTGTCCGAAAAATAATAAAACCAAAGTTTTCGTTTCAGATTGGCTTTCTCAGTGAACCTCAGGCATTCACAATTATCTGTTTACATCAGTTTATACATAACTAATAGTAAACAACCGCGTGAAAATTCTATTCAATATTAGATTTTGTAACAGGGTCCGATTGCGATGGGTCGATAAGCGTGAAACACAAAAAAGCCAATTCGTTTTTCAAAACCATTGGTTTCCTCTATCTGTTATGCACCAAATACAACAAAGCTGATTTGTTTGCTCAAAATAATCCCGGCACACTATTTTGAATGCATTCTTTTCAGATAACCCTCTTGATACTTTTTATGGCCGTATGGTTGTCTTCATCAATCGCATGAATTTGGATGTTTCCTCTCCAAACTGTGATCAACTTTCGAGGACGGCCATTATTTCCTGTTCTTTATATGGTGTTATACATGCTGCTTATGTTTTATCAGATACCTATCAAACTTTGATGCCTGACCCCAAAGGTAGCTGGAAATTTCAGAGTTGTCAGCTAAAATTTCTCCCCAAAATAAGCTATCAAACGTTCACTTGTGAAACGAACGGAGACACCTATCCAGTCACATTAATGGTCAATACGAATGAAAGCGGGTAGTTACAAAGTATTCAAATAGGAATTCCAGCGAATGCCGTTCTGATATATGCGGTGCAGCACGCCGAAAACACACTGCAGTGCTGTTTTGACCTAACAATGCGTTTTAGCTTATGCACGATTTTCAGTAGCCTAATATTTTCTGGTCACCAGCCCTCAAATTTACTGCACAAATCGTTTACAGCAATGGATTATTCCATAAGGTGACTTATGGTTAGATGGCCTGGTAATATTAATAAATTCGGTTTGGGTAACGCCCTGATTGGGCGCAAACAATAGTTCCCAGAATTTTTATAGGATTATTTCACATTGTGCCGACCCGCTTCTGAGGCTGGTTGTTGTGGCATAGTTTGATTCTGTGCTGTTTAAATGATGGATATTGGCACTGGTTTGGTCTTGATTGATGACTGCTTCGTAAACAAAGTTTGACCAAAACCAATACCGTACCTAGCAGTTGGACTTTAGGTTTCAACTGAACCACTTTATAATAGTAAGCGACAAATGCTCCAAGATATTGTTCATCACACAGCTCAAATGACTCCATTTATTGTTCCACATGTTTAGCAAAAATTCATTCCTCCTGTCCCTACAAATAAGAACTTATATAACTCATATTATTCAAGGAGTAGGAGATGTCATGGGATCAAGCAATAATGTTTATCTGTAATGTTGGACTTAGTTTTATGTTGATATCATGGATAAATATGGTAACAGAAAAGATCAGGCCAACATTTACGTGTTACATCAGTTATGTTGACATTTTAAGAGGCATAAGATAACCAGCTTTAAAAATTATACAGCCTTTTGGCAGACAGTGCTCATTAGCTGGATTTCGTTCTTACATTTATCCACCAAAAACTAATTATTTGGAGCAATACACAACAATAAATACCCCGGTGATGGCTCACTTGTATTCTGAGAAAAAATTGATGACTTATTTCTGTTCCACGGATTACATAAGCACACATTTTTGTTCGTAGCATTTTGGGGGGAAACGCGTCGCCTAATTCAAAACTTCTTTCCAGTCCACGGAACCACAAGTCTTCGCTCCATGATTGTTTCTATTGGGATTATAGCAAACTTGAGGCGGAATTCCACCATGAGAACCTTTCCTTATGTTAAATGGATATGCGTTTCTCACGTGTCGCGTAGATGAGCAAAGACATCCCAATCCTAAAGACCGCTGTCGCAGTATTTTGTGCTTGCCAGATCAGCTGATTCAGACGCAACAAATAACCTCATTTACTTGCCAACTGAGTTTTCACGGGAGATTCAGTTGAATTCAAGCTGAATCTCTCGTTTACGATGTTCTTCAATGAAATGGGCTACAACAGGCTTCTTTTTATTTCATTTGGTACGGTATTCGAGTTATCTAAATTCAGTGTGTAGTGATAACATGCTTCTCACGATCACAGACCTGAGATTTAATTTGGATTTGGAAGTCTCTAGTAAATACCAGACCAATATATAACTGCCTGTATTTGTAGAATTTCGTGCAACCTTGGTTCAGAATGCAAATACGATTGACAGGAACTCGAGAACTCTGCCAACCTGAGGAGTTCCAAGAGTAGCAAACTGATCGCGGGATACCAAAGAGCGTTGAGAAATTTTATGAATAGCGTGTTACGTCTATACTAACTCAGCTCGTTTTCATTGACGTAACTCTGTAACAATAACTCACACCGAACTGTACAAATTTTCATATATCTTGTTAAACATCTGAAAAGAATTTGATTGCTTCGAAAATTAGATATCACCCAGAATTTCAGTAGCTACTGGGTCATTGTAAATAAAGTCAACTGCGCCTTCTGTTACAATCACTCAGCACTATACAATCTTCATTGTAAGGTAGGCCCAATTAATATACCTTACATCGCTCACACAATCTCCAGATGGTGAAAACGTGCGCAGAAAATTGGCCAGAAATAACTCCTTGCGAAACATGCTCTTGCGATCCGGGACTTGACGAATGATATTAATACCAGGTAATGTTCAATGGAAAGTATTGTATACAAACGTTCCTACATTGGACTCCAAAACAATCGAACCTTTTAGGAAAATAGCAACAATGTGTAAGAGCCAAGACAGGTTTTAATCCTTAAATTTGTTGTAAACCATATAATAAAATGAAAAAAATTATTGCATTGCATAAAATCGGGTGAAAAACAGATGGGTAGCGAAAAACGTTCATTCTACCTTACACTATGTTCTTCGTGTTTCGTGTGGCCAATTCTAGTGTTTGTGTCTGGTTTTCCTTGCGTGGATGAAGAAGCTGTCATCTTGTGTGGAGGAAGACTGGGTCGAATAGTACTGGCGAGTGTGGATATCACAGTTGCTCTGTGTATTCGTCTTGACACTTCGTTGGAACCAGATAGGTCATCTTTGATTAAATAGCACAGAAGCAGGCGTCTAAGCTCTTTCCGAAAGCTGGGCAGAAAAGCAAAGTACGTTGGAAATCCTGTAGTATAGACGATGGACTTTATTGAACTGCACAGACGGGATACATGGACTAGTTTCGTAGCATATTCGGGGTAGGATTCCTTGTAATTCGATCGGTCGGAATGTTGACGTAGTAGTATCAGTATTATGAGGGGGAAAGTTATAACGAAGAATGCACTTGTGAGTCCCAAATGTCCAACAACACGCCGTAACTCACTGGAACTCCTTTTGTCTGCTACCGACAATCGCCGGCGCTCTTGCAACATGCTCTTAAGCTTTATAAATATGAAAATGTCAGCAATAAACACCTCAAAAAAGGGGATAACGTTGCCACCAAACACTGACATATATAGTGCATACTGTGGTCCAAATGCACGAGGGTTGTAATACTGGCAGCTAATCTTGGTAAGGGTGGTTCCGCCTTCAGCTGTTCCCAAGTTGGCGTATAGAGCGTTTGGTATATTGATTAAAAATGCAGCCATGTATACGGCAATTATAGCGGCTGCTGCAAATTTGAGGTAACGATCGCCACTAAACTGCAAGGGTTTGTACACTGTCAGAACACGGTCAAAACTGAACAACACTAACAAGTTGACTGACGAAAGTGCAGCTACTTCTGGAAAGTATTTGAAAAAAGTGCATGATTCTTGGGATAGAATATCAAGTTTCAAGGTTATTCTGCAGTCGCTCAGCCAAATAATTCCTCGACCCAAGAAGTCGTCCAGAAGCGCGTTTATTATCAGTTCAAAGGAATGGGCAACAGCGATGGCAATCACATAGAGGTTGAACCGACATGGAGCCCTGATCTGCATTCGGCTGAACGTCGCAATAACAAGTATATTTCCAGTGAGACCAAAAACAATTATCAATGGAGTCACAAATGCACGAAATTCGTATACCATCACCTCCTCATGAGTCATTGTTTTCGCAGCTACAGCACAAGAGAAATTTGACATTGCAAATAAACTCCGTTATTGTCCCTTATTACTTCACAAGCACCTGCCAATTTCCATGCTGCTAAAAGTTTGTATGTGAAGCGGACCCAACCGCTGAATATCCTTGCTGACAATTAACCAATCTAATAACACGAAATTAGGACGACTAATCTGATTGGACCCCAATTCATGAATCGACCTGAAACAGACCCCGTTGCCTAGATCAGTGATTTTCAGAATTCATTGGACGATTTATTCGTTATGTCCAAATCTCATTTCTTTATTCGATTAATTCTCACGCGCAGCTGGGGTTTATTCTCGTTATAAATATGCTCATCATATTCCTGTCACATTAGTGAGATTAGAACCTCTCTGCCAAGGTTTTTCAATGTGCCCCTTTGTCTCACTTTTGTTATTTAAGCAACCACATATGAAACGCAACAAAACCGCATGAGATTTGCGCGAAAATCAGCTTTTATATATGCACGAATTAAAAGTCACCTATTTTATGGACAACGTATAATTACGTATCCGATAGATGGTATACTCGATAGAAGTTCACTCCAAGGCTGCACTGTTATTTGAAAACTTTTGGAAAAGTTTCCGCAGTACTGCAGTGTTGCATCATCGCCCACTACTGGCTACGTGATAATCCACATGGCTGTGGGAGTTACTTTGTCAGTGTCGTAATTGTATGTGTCTATTTATTTTCAGAATATGTATCGAGACTATGAGCTCTAAGAGGAATTCTCAGACCGAGGTGCTGTAAAACCAGTGAGATTGTGAACAGCTTCAAATTACGCCATGAATGGTAAGCACTTGCAGGAATATTGCGGTGAGTCGCTTCGAATAAAACTTCACTGTACTGAACTGATTAGATCGAAACTTAAAAGTGTCAATATACATGAAACTCCAGCTGTCAATATTATTTTATCCAGCCTCTAAAAGCTGCACTCCTAGATTTTTGATGATGAGAATTTACACCTTGCAGGGATATGCGTTATTCACCTTGAATCGCCCTTTATAGGCTGTTCGGTGGGATGGGAACCGTTGCAGAAATCGTTCACTCCTTGTCGAAACTGTGAATCGGTTTCATGAAGTATCAATTCTGTCAACATCAGAATAAGATCATCATTCCTCCTTCTCCTAATAAACGGAACAATTTGTGTTCTGAATTTTCAGTTCCAATAACGTTCGTAAAATAAATTACAAAAACGCCGGAATCACCTATTTTTCAAGCTGTGTCATAACTGTTCGGAGGTAAACAGCATAGTTTGTTCCTGATTGTCTACTGGTGAAAATAGCTTAAATTATCAAAGATGATCATATTACTCTGACAGTCACCGCGTTGCTCCGTCGATGTCAAATGTCGTCATCATCATCATCGACATCATGACATCATTGTTCAACACCGATGCTCCATTGCCGTAAAACGATAATTTATTTGAAAGCCTTATTGTAAAGGAACCAGTGAAGGTGGACGGGAAAGGGACTTAGTGCTAGCTTGACACAATCATTCCGAGGTACCTACACCTTCAGACATTCACTCAGGCGATCCGGATAGAAACTGGCAACAAGAACGCCATTGACATCGGTTGGCAGCCATATCTTGTAGTGTCTCCAACCAGGCACAGTGAGGATCACGCGGTCCCCATCCTGGAAGG